ACAGTAACCTGTTCAAGATTACAAAGCTAGACCTTGAAAGGAGGAAAGGGATTCAAACACAGGTAGTTTGACTTAGAGACAATGGCCATTACTATTCTTAATGAAAAGCACTCTAAGCTAAGACCATATACATCAGTATGTAGAAATTTATGAAATTTAAGAGTAGCAGCACACAGAAAGTTATCTGAAAAAGAATGAAAAGAACAAAATTAATTACATGAAAGTTAAACTATCTGGCCAGGAGGAAATGAATGGCCTACAAAACTAACACATCATCTACCCTAAAGGCAGAGTCTCTGAGAAGTTCTGGATTTGCCTTACTGGCAAATTTAATAACTTAGAATGTAGAATTTATGTTTGGTAAATAATTTTTTGGACCTAAGTATGACCAATAAGAAAAAAAACAGATGTAAAAGTAGAAATGATGGGAACACCTTAAAATAAGCAACAATGTCATATTAAAGAATTCATGAAAGCCAGGGAGACAGACTGGGTACAATCTGAAGAAAAACTTCAAAAATTTCAAAAAGATAAACACGACCACTCATACAAGTATCATAAACTAGATACTCTGGAGGTATCCTCTCACAGCAAAAACAAAATCCTGCATAAACACTTTTGTTGTGTTACATTGCTGAGCTTTTATAAATAAGGCAGTGCTCCTCAACCTTTAATGTGTTCAAAAATCACCTTAATTGTTATCTCAAATCCCACACTAGGCCTCTTGAATCAGAAATCTGCAGTTGATTTGCATAAGTTTTAGAAGGACTGGTCAAGTCCATCTCATGATGAATGAATTCCCTTTACAACATTGCTACCAAGTTATCATCAAACTTCTTCTTGAATTATTTTAGTGATAGGAACAGTCACTATTTCCTGAAATTGACCATTTCATAGTCAGGCAGTTGTGGCTGTTAGAAAGGCATTTCTGGTATTATTGAGTTGAAAGTTTTCTCCATGTAATGATTCCATTTGGAAATGAAGGGGAAATAAAATGAAATGCTTGGGATTATAATCCCTTGGCCAAATTTTTATTTAAAATTTTAACTGAAATTATACATATTTAAGGTATACAGAATAATGTCTAAGAGTCAAACTCCAGGGGGACCCAGTCATAGGTAAGTCCCCACACATTTGTGAGTTTCACCTCCAGGAGCTCACCAGGTTCTCACCATGAATAACTGAGAAAAATTCCCTCATGATTCCAGCAGGGGGAGGTGAAAAGGAACTATTATGAAATACACCAGAGCTGTTCTTCCCTCAAGAGAAAGTATTTAACAACAGCCTAACACATTGAGTTTTTATCAGAGCCTAACTGACCTGGGAAAAGGAAAACAACTCAACTCCAGTTGGCTACTCCATTTGGGTGAAGGGAAATACCAAACCTAGCCCACTCTACTCATCCTGTTCCACTTAAGGGGCCAAGAAGTGGGGGTATAGACTGGGAAGCACCAGTGAGGTTCACAGTACAGAGGCACAGGCTCACAAAAAGACTGAGCCCTACTCAGACTACTATAGGATGCTTC